ATCTCACATGATATCCTTTTCCTTGGAGAACTACCTCCCTACCCTTCTGCCGGCCTTATTCCTGTTTCTCAACTTATATAGCTCTTCCTCTAGGAGGCATTGCCAGTCTTGGTTAAGTTTGTTTAGATGCCCCTCCAGATGTTCTCATGACATACTGTACTTTATTATTTACCATTTTTATTCCTTTATGCCAAAGCCACCTTACTTCTCTGTGTCCTCTAGTGAACAGTAGACTCTGTAAGAAAGACACATGAAGATCACCTGTATCTTAGTAACCATCCTTGTCCCCAGCACCTAATGTAGTCTAACACATGGTAGGCAATGAAAGATTTCTTCAGTGAGGGAGGGAATGAACAAACAATAGCATCAGCATTTAAGTTTGATCATTTGGTATTTTAAAAGTTTATATGTGATTATCTTACATTTTTAATAAGACTTAGGACATTAGAAGAATTCTCTTTTGAACTGGTTAACATTTTCTCATATATGTTTTAGGGTCACATTTGATAACATATGTAAGTAATTTTCTTGGACTGGAAAATATAAAATGCAAGTTTATTTTAGCTAAAGTAGATGTATAAATATTTAAACTTATTAATGAATTCTTAGTATTTTGAGACAGCATTTCAGAATTAGCCTCAGTATCTTTGAAATTGTTACTGTTAGCACCTAATGTATATTCCTGGTAAGTCAAACATTTAATTATTAATTATTTTCTACTTTGGATATCACTGTGTTATTTTATGACCTTTTGCATGTGAGGGTGTGTGACTTGGTATAATTGATTTTGAATGCATTTTTATTTATTTGGTTATAGATAATACAACCTTTCATATTATTTCACTAATACGTTCTGGAATTTTAAAACCATTTTTATCATCTTTTTATTATAATACTAAAAAGAAATGGTTCTCAGTGAAATACTCTTCTTTAATAAAGGCATGTTTACAGGTAAAAAGGACAAATAGCAACATTTGCCATTTGATTTTTTTTAAACTACTTGTTTATATAAAGAGCTTAAAGTTGATATTTCAAAATTTATTATTATGCATAGTGATTCTGAAGATGGGGAGAAGGAAAATGAAAAATCTGAAAGTTCAGATTCTTCCAATGCGGAATCTAGTTCAATAGAAGAAAGTTCATCAGATTCTGAATCAGAATCAGAAAGTGAATCTGAATCCAGAAAAGTCACTAAGGTAAGACAGTATACATGTATCGTAATTGAAAGTAAATATTCTTATAGCCTTTTCCCAATTAAAATCAAGTATTTCTGAAAATTAGTGTATTGTAGAAAATAAGAAACTAGAAAGGGATTTAATATTGTCATTGACAAGTAAAGTAAACACTGTCTTTATTCATCCACACCTATGATTTTTTTTTCCCTAGATAATTGCTTCCCTTATAACTCAGCCCTGCAGAGAAGTTAGAAACTTTTTATTAGCCTCAGACTTTGCCACCGAAATTAGAGAGCTCACTGTTGATGAGTATGGTCTTTGTTGCTCTTGGCTAGCATGTGACAAGGGAGGCTTTTGCTAAATGGGAAGTGAAAGGAAGTCACGGAAACACTGTTAAGCAAAGGAATGTAAATGTACATGCGTCAGAAGAAATTCAGACTAGTACCCTTTTTTAAAACACCAGGTATTTTGGATAATAGAATATTTTTAAAGGTTTAACAAAGGTTTATTCCTTAGGGCTGGTCGAGTGGCTCAGTTGGTTAAGAGCTCGCTTAAGAATGTGAGCTCTGAGCTACAGTGGTTCGATTCCCAGCCCGAGCTGAGCTGCTGCGGAGCTGCCAACAGATGGCAGAATGGCTCAGCTAAATAAATGGAAGGGAGGGAGGAAGGAAGGGAGGAAGGGAGGGAGAGAGGGAGGGAAGGAAGGAGGGAGGAAAAGAAAAGGTTATATATTCCTTAACTAATTAATAAAAATGCAGAAATCATATATTTAAAAACAAAGGTAAGGACCATTTATGTAATAGAAGAATGCTTTTTGATATATTTTTAACCCAGAACCTTGTCTGCTTATCAGCAAAAAATAAAAATATAAATTGCAAAAATGTAGTTATTAATATAAAATTCAGACCTAATATCTTTCTGATCATTATTACTCCCTTCCTATAAATAGATCATGTTGCTGCTAGGCTTGAAATGCAGTAGTTCTTATAAATAAACTGTATTATTCTGTATGCTGAAAATATGGTTAAATCTTATCTTTTAAATTGAATTCATTTTCTTTTTAACCTGTTTTTATCATTTATTTGTTCTATACTTACCAGTTTCTTTAATAAGTCATCTGAGTAGCCAAGGATGAAAATAAATTCATTGAAGTAGATAATTGCCCTCCTCTACCCAGAGATGTATTGTTAAAAAATAAGCATGTTTAAAAATTGGCTAATATTTGTCTTACCTTATTTAAAATATTCTTGCATATATTAAAACCTATTTTAAGCTTGAATTTAAAACAAGTGTCTGTGTATAGTACCTAATCTAAAATTTCTATGTTTCGGGCCAGCTGAGTGGCTCAGTTGGTTAAGAGCTCGCTCAAGGGTTTGAGCTCTGAGCAACAGCGGTTCGAGTCCAGCCTGAGCTGAGCTGCCGCTGAGCTGCCAACAGGTGGCAGGATGGCTCAGCTAAAAAGATAAAAAATAAAATAAAATAAAATTTCTGTGTTTTAAATATTCACATAAAATATTAGAGATTTTTAGGTTTATTAATCTGGCCTCATATAAAAACTTACCACATAGTGCGTTTGATGTCCTCTCATTTCAGACTTATATTAAATTGTAAAAACAGTTAGGATGTTATTTAAAATACAGGAGCTTTAGAAATTGACAGTAAGTATAATCCAGGTTAAGAAATAAGTGATTTTTTTTTTTATTGGTGAATTGGGGGGATGGGAACAGTGCTGGGGAGTTGGGGGAAGGGGGACAGACAAGTTGCTGTCGTTTTGTTCTTCAGTCTAGTTGTGGAGGA